GTGCTGGTTTTGGAGGTGGTGCTGGTTTCAACCTGGCTGATGCCGTTGATGTGTCTACAAATGAGAAAGCCACCATGCAAAACCTCAATGACCGTCTGGCCACCTACCTGGAGAAGGTGCGCACCCTTGAGAAGGCTAATGCTGATCTTGAGCTGAAGATCCGCCAGTTCCTCGAGAGCAAGACGTCCCCCTCTGCTCGGGACTACAGTGCCTATTACGCTACTATCAGTGACCTTCAGGCCAAGGTACGTGACATAGCTACAGAACATCTAATTCAAGTCAATCATTAACCTAACTTTAGATAAAAAATTATCCAATTTCAATATCCCATGTTTCCTCATTTGCAAAGGATATATTCAAAATGCATTGGGAAAAAATACCATATTTCTCAGGTAGGTAACTTCAGGAGATATCTAAATTTGACTTTATTTATTCATTTTTCCACTTGAAGATTCAGCATGCTACTGGTCTAAACGGAGGCATCTACTTGAGCATTGACAATGCCAAGCTGGCTGCAGATGACTTCAGAGTCAAGTAAGTGAATAAACAAACAGCACTTCCAACATCTATAAAAGGTCAAATCATTTATATCAGTTACTGTTTTGTGCAGATATGAGAATGAGCTGAGCATGAGGCAGTCAGTAGAGGCAGATATTGCTGGGCTGAGAAGGGTGCTGGATGAGCTGACAATGGCCAGATCTGATCTGGAGATGCAGATTGAGGGGCTGAGAGAAGAGCTGATCTTCCTCAAGAAGAACCATGAGGAGGTATGTTGGTTCACACTCTTTGATAAATAAGTTATTTCTGTAAATGAAGCAAATGCTCAGTGGTTTCTTACAACATCTTTAGGAACTCTTGGCAGCACGTGCCCAGATGAGTGGACAGGTCAATGTAGAGGTTGAGGCAGCACCACAGGAAGACCTGTCAAAGATCATGGCTGAAATCCGTGAGCACTACGAGGCTGTTGCTAATAAGAATCGCAAGGAACTTGAGGCTTGGTTCCAGTCCAAGGTAAAAATCTGATGTTTTTAAAGAAAGGGCAGCATTATAATCAAAACCAACAGACTTACCTGACTGCTTTGCTATGGATTGTCTTTAATAGAGCGAAACCCTTAACAAGGAAGTTGCTGTCAGCACAGAAACCCTTACAACATCCCGATCTGAAATCACGGAGGTTAAACGCACACTCCAGAGTCTTGAAATCGAGTTGCAGTCTCAACTTAGTATGGTAAGCAAGGAGAAATAAATCCCTTAATGTTTCGTCATCACATTGTGCAGAACACTGAATAATTAATTTCCTCCCCCAACAGAAATCATCATTGGAAGGCACTTTGGCAGAAACAAAGGCCCGCTACAGCTCCATGTTGTCCGGCTACCAGTTCCAGGTGACCAGCATGGAACAGCACCTGGTGCAACTTCGTGCCGATCTGGAACGCCAAAGTCAAGAGTATCAGATGCTTCTGGACATTAAGACCAGACTGGAGATGGAGATCGCAGAGTACAGGAGACTGCTGGACGGAGAGGCTACTGGGTGAGACATCTACAACACAAAATCTCTAAAGAACAGCGTTTAGATTAAACAGTAGTGTCAACATTTTTCAGTGAGCAGTGGCGACTTATTACAACAAACTAAATTAAAATGAGATGGAAATATCTGCCTAGCATTTCAGTAATTTAATTTTATGTGTTTCTACCTCTGCAGCCTCTCAAGCGCAAGCAAAAGCACAAGCTCAAGCTCAAGCTCAAGCACAACTACACGAAAAGTGGTAACCATTGTGGAAGAGGTGGTGGACGGCAAAGTGGTCAGCTCATCTTCCCAGGCTACCAGCGAGACCATGTCTCAAAAGAGCTCTTGAGCAGCAACAATCTATCTCAGAGTGATTTAAAAAATACCAATAAACTGGCCTAACTGTGAATTTCTGTGTTTTGTCTTATTTTCTTTAGTTTTGTTTTGATACCATATTGAGTCAATGTGAAAATGTAGGCAAAAGGCATTTAAAAAAAAAAAACAGATCAGCTAGTATTAGCCTAGGTGTGGTATAAAACATTAGAATTAGAAAAAAGAAATACCAACTAACTCAAAGACCTGATTACATGGCTGTTCTCAATTACCAGTACAAAAATTGAAGTAACAATAAGATGCAGATGCATTAAATTACATACATTAAATCAGGCTAGAGTTCACTTTGCTACAAAGGACAAGGACATTATTTTTTAATAAATATATCCATGTAAAAATATAAGCAAAATGTTTCACATTTACACCCGGGCATCAAAATAACAAGTAAATCTCTCTCTGGCACACCCTCAACAATTTGAACGCATTTATGCACCACTGAGTATGTAAAGTCTAAAACATGACAAATGATAGTAAAACTAGTAGTGACAAAAAAGTCCACACATGTCTGAACATGTACAAAGCTCTCATCTGAGAAAAGTTTAGAGGGGGAATGCAAGCGTCTATCTTACTTACTTGAGGGGATTATCAATCAACCAGTTTTGACCAGTCTTATGCTTTTAGGTCAATCACACTTTATTATGCTATGGGGTTAAGGGTGAGGTTACAACACAAAGTTGACAGATGGTTCCAAATATGTTATCTCGTTTATGGCACCAAGAGAACTAGGACCACCACTCTAAAAACCTGTCACTAGGCCTACTTAAAGTAAACATTTAAGTATTGTGAATGTAAAGCAGACACATTTCTACACATCCTTGTAAAATTGCAAATCCAATTGTAAGGTAAATGTTGTGGGAATATAACTTCAACAAGCCTACTGGAAGTATTTATTATGATTATTGACCTATGGACAATAGTTGTTGTAGCTATATCAATGTGGACATTGTTTTATCACAACAGTCGTCAAACTCAGCCAAATGTAGAATATCTTTACACACTTTATCTGAAACCACTGTCTTTTTCTAGATTTTTTTTTATCTGCCATTATGGAACTGTTGTTGTCAAGTCATTCTTATTTTCGGGAAACATTTCTAGTAGGACTACTCTAGGAATACGGGTTTTTCAATGATAGATTATAACGTTATTAATATTATGATATTCCACATCTGGCCATAAACGTTGTATATTTTTTGGTGGTGAGTGAAGTAAAGTGTCTCACCTCTGATTCTCTGACTCTCCTCCTCAGAAAACCGCGCCATTCTTGTCACGCGCGCGCGCCCTTGTGGTTGAGCACGCATTCGACGCTGACAAACAAACAACCAGTGTTTGTTTGTACATCAAGTTTATATTTCCAAGAAACTTAACTAAATTTTGTCCTAAGAACGATATTTCTGGGATTCAAATAACCAAATATTTCTTAAGGTGACTCGTTTGCATCAGAGAACATAGGCTACTTTACACCGTTGTGGCATATTTAAAACATGTTGCTTTAAGATAAATGAATGACAAAATTGATGAACAATTATTCATTTTAATACATTTTCAATTGGTGACTTATGAAAATGTAATAAGACTAGTACCATTGTTTAAAACTTTGAATTAGCCTACATGATTTTTTTTTATTTTTTTACTTTTTACAATAGGCTAGTATTTGATAATGAACATTTTTGGGTATACAACGGATAATTAATTTGTTTGCTCAGAATTCAGACAACGCTATATAGTGCACTATACTGGGAACAGGGAACTTTTGAAAAAATATATATATATTTTTGTGCTAAATATATGCAAAATTCCTGCAGCTCAAGCATGCTGAACTCTTACATCTGAAACTGGGTAACACACTTTCTTTGTCGATTAATGAATAGCAAAATTGGGTAAATAAGAATAAGATATTAATTTATATATTATAATTACTGACAATCTGATTTGGAGATTCGAGTAGCAGCTGAGTGTACAAGTTAACCTCTGGAGCATTATACCATAATACAATCTTGGAAATATTAGCAGCCCAGTAATACTTTTTTTTTTTTTTTACAAAAAAAAAAAAAAATTAAAGTAAGATTTGTACAAAGCTTATATCAAATACTCAATATACCGATAATAGAACTAAAGGCAAACAATAAATAAATAATAAAATGTATCATGAATCACTTTTTACGCAGAGGTCTGCCCTGCGTTCAGCCGCCTAAGGGAGGAATTTGATGTTAAGCCAAACATGGTGGGAAACATCCTGCTACATGCTCAAACATGAGAAGGTTCAAACAGTCCACTTTTACCTCTTAGTGCCCCTATATGGTAAAACTGTTACATAATAATTTGCTGCAAGCAAATCTTCAATTGTCAATGAGATCAGCATAGCTCTGAATTCACACTTGCTTCTTCCAACATGGCTACATCACTTATATGATGCAGCTGGTGTTCAAATTCTGCAGTGAGCTTTTTGTGACTCAGATTTTAGAGTAACAAGCAGTAAAGTTTTAAATGAGAGTTTCATTTTGAGTTAGTTAACAGCCTTTGGGATTCTGTCATCATTTACTCACCCTCAAGTTGCTCCAAACCTGTATGAGTTTCTTTCTTCTGCTAAACACAGAAGAAGATATTTTGAAGAATGTCGGTAAGCAAAGAGTTGATGGACCCGAGTGAATTTCATAGTATTTTTTTCCATACTATGGAAGTCAATAGGGCCATCAACTACCGACATTCTTCAAATTATCTTCTTCTGTGTTCAGCAAGAAACTCATACAGGTTTGGAACAAATTGAGGGTGAGTAAAGGTGGTCCCTTTAAAGGTGGTCTAGAATATTCCAGGGTTTAGAGGGGCTTTACTGTAAAATCAGCAGTGAAAAATGTCCACAAACGTCTGAACATGTACAGAGCTCTCATCTGAGAAAGTTTAGAGGGGGAATGCAAGCGTCTATCTTACTTACTTGAGGGGATTATCAATCAATTAATTTTGTTTTAGCATCACTTTTCACTTTAAGATGATTGAAGCTGACAGAATGCCTGTGTCAGCAAGTTTTTGATGGAAATAAGGTTACCAAGTCTTTCCTTGCCATCTTCACCAGCACATAAAAGGACCCAGAGTTTCTCCACTGTACTCACTCTGCAGACCACAAACCACCGTCCACATGGCTACCACCTTCTCCAGCGGCAGCTTTGTTTCCAGCAGGTCCTCAATGGGCTCCTCACGATTCTCCGGTTCAGGTGGAGGAGGTGGAGGTGGCCGCATCAGCGCCATGAGGGCTGGCAGCGTGTACGGGGGTGCAGGGGGTTCAGGGGTCCGGATCTCCAGTGTCTCTCGTTCCATGTCCGCAGCAGGGTCGGGAAGTGGATTTGGAGGCGGGTTTGGTGCTTCAGGAGGTGCTGGTGGACGATTCAGTGGGGGATTTGGTGCTGCAGGAGGTGCTGGTGGAGGATTCGGTGGGGGATTCGGTGCTGCAGCAGGGGGAGGATTCAGTGTCTCTGGAGGAGCAGATGACAGCATCATTGGCAATGAGAAGTTCACGCTGCAGAATCTTAACGATCGTCTGGCTACTTACCTAGAGAAGGTCCGCTCCCTTGAAAAGGCCAATGCTGACTTTGAGTTGAAGATACGCCAATTCCTTGATAGCAGAATCTCTCCTTCTGGCAGTGCTCGTAACTACTCAGCCTTCGATGCTACTACCAGTGACCTCCAGGCTAAAGTAAGTCTAGCTAGGTAGATTCTTTGTGGTTACTGCTATAAGAAAATGGCATAACCTAATCATCTTTATTCCCTATACAACATGCAAACAAAAAAAAATCAAATACTGTTTTACTTTTCTTGGGTTTTGTTCTCAGATCTTAGGTGCCATGCAGGTAAAGAACACAGTCCACCTCAGCATTGACAATGCTAGCTTGGCTGCAGATGATTTCAGAATGAAGTAATTATATTTATTTTTATTATTATTATATTAAACAATAACATATAACTGCAGTGCAAGTCATTTGTATATCTGCTTTTGGGTCATTTGCATGTTCTTCTCTGTGACAAAAGCTAATCATTTTAAAATAGTTTAATAATCTATTTGCATATTAAAATACCATAGAAAATGAAATAGTAAACTATTATGATCTAGTATAGTATGAACTATTATAGCAGTAGACTATTCATTTAACGTAAAATATTGATGTTGATAAAAGAACGTTCTTTTAACAATGTTTCTTCTTATTTGACAGATATGAGAATGAGATGGCAATGCGTCAGTCTGTGGAGGCCGACATCGCGGGGTTAAAGAGTGTTTTTAGCGAGCTCAACCTGAACAATAAAGACCTCAATCTGCAGATCGAAGGGCTCAAAGAGGAGCTGGTCTACATGAAGAAGAATCACGAGGAGGTAGTAGATCATTTCAAAACACTTTCAGGCTGTTCATAATGGAGCAGAGCAAAACGGAAGATTTATGCCCAAAACTGTTCCAGTTAAACATTTTAGACAGGAGGTCAGGTCACACAGGTGCTTCATAGCCTTAAGCTCAAGATGTCACTGTTTTGTAACATATTTCCATACCATGACTTTTGAAGACAAGAATAAACAGGTGATGATGGGAAGATATTTTGAGATAGACATCTGAAAATTATATATAATGTATCTTCAGGACCTCTTGGCCTCACGTGAACAGATGAGTGGACAGATCAACGTGGAAGTCGAGGCCGCACCACAGGAAGACCTCACCAAAATTCTAGCTGAGTTGCGTGAGCACTACGAGACCGTCGTAGCCAAGAGCCAGAAAGACCTTGAAGGCTGGTTCCAGCAGAAGGTTGGTTCAGTCCAGAACCGAAATCTGTACATGAGAAACACAACACCCATAAAGTCATATGCATTCCATGGGCCCAGCTCAAAAAAATGTCAGAAATAAAATAATTAAGTTGGTCCAAATAATAGTTAATGAAAGTAAAGCAAAACATCAATACTAAGATTAAAACAAAATTTTGAAAACTGATCAGAAAAAAAAAAAACTTTTATTTTGGTGAGTAGTAGTATGTACTGTATGTGCCATAAACATTAGCACAGCTACCTCTATGTTGGGTTTATACATGCATGAAATAAAAATAAAAATACTTATTTTGCAGTCTGAGACCGTGAAAGAAGAGGTTGTAACAAGCACAGAGACCTTGCAGACGTCGAAAACCGAGGTCAACACAGTGAAGAGCACAGTACAGGCACTGGAGATTGAGCTTCAGTCCCTCCTTTCCATGGTGAGTATGTGTTCAAGAAATGTACAGTGGGCCCAAAAACTATTCGTACACATAAGTCACACTTAAATGTGCTCTATGCCATTTTTATTACTGGCACATCATTTGCAAACATGCCTTCAAACATGCAAATACTCGTTTCTCTGAAAAACAATGTTACAGCCAATTGTTCTATTTAGAAATGTGCGTTCTGTGTCAGAATATCTGTTTTTGTTTTGGTCTGTGTGATCCCACCAACTGCCAATTTACCCAATGGCATTTCAACACACCGAGTTGCCAATTGGCGGAAAACGCTGCTATGGAAGCCAGCAAATGAACTGGGTCAGAGATCGCAAATTCTACCGACCAACAAAAACATTCCAAACATACATTAGCTGATCAACTTATATTCTAAGGCTCGTCGCTTTCCATTATCAGTTAAAATCAATCTGGGTGTGAGCATCTAGTCTGAGGAGAAGGAGGCGGGCAAAAACTCTCTCCAATATTTTGAATTTGGACTGCAGTACCCATTTCAACTGCTAGCTGTCAATATTACATAGTGCAACTTTAACAATATATGAATGTCAGTGCAATAGATATCAAAATCTTAAACCAAGTGCCATTTACTTTAAGGGTTAGTTCCCCCCAAAATACTGTCATTAATTACTCACCCTCGTGTCGTTCCGAACCCGTAAAACTTTCCTATTTCTTCAGAACACAAATGAAGATCTTTTTGATGTAATCTGAGAGCCTTCTGTCCCTCCATAGACAGCTACACAACTGACACTGATGCTTCATAAAAGTTCATAAAGAGATCGTAAAACTAATCCAAATGAATTGAGCGGTTTAGTCCAAATTTTCTGAAGAAACTCTATCACTTTATATGATGAACAGATTTAATTTAGGCTTTTATTCATATTTAAACATTGATCAGCGAACATAAACAAGCTCAACCGAACCTGTTTGATGCGTGACAACAAACCTCTTGCTGAAGCTCAAACGTACTGCTTAACACGAGGATGAACCTCATTGGTTCTTGCTGAAGCTCAAACGTGCTGCGTAACACGAGGATGAACCTCATTGGTTCTTGCTGAAGCTCAAACGTGCTGCGTAACACGAGAATGAACCTCATTGGTCCTTGCTGAAGCTCAAACGTGCTGCGTAACACGAGAATGAACCTCATTGGTTCTTGCGAAAGCTCAAACGTGCTGCGTAACACAAGAATGAACCTCATTGGTTCTTGCTGAAGCACAAACGTGCTGCGTAACACGAGAATGAACCTCATTGGTTCTTGCTGGAGCTCAAACGTGCTGCGTAACACGAGGATGAACCTCATTGGTTCTTGCTGAAGCTCAAACGTGCTGCGTAACACGAGAATGAACCTCATTGGTTCTTGAGGAAGCTCAAACGTGCTGCGTAACACGAGAATGAACCTCATTGGTTCTTGAGGAAGCTCAAACGTGCTGCGTAACACGAGAATGAACCTCATTGGTTCTTGCTGAAGCTCAAACGTGCTGCGTAACACGAGAATGAACCTCATTGGTTCTTGAGGAAGCTCAAACGTGCTGCGTAACACGAGAATGAACCTCATTGGTTCTTGCTGAAGCTCAAACGTGCTGCGTAACACGAGAATGAACCTCATTGGTTCTTGAGGAAGCTCAAACGTGCTGCGTATCACGAGAATGAACCTCATTGGTTCTTGAGGAAGCTCAAACGTGCTGCGTATCACGAGAATGAACCTCATTGGTTCTTGAGGAAGCTCAAACGTGCTGCGTAACACGAGAATGACCCTCATTGGTTCTTGCTGAAGCTCAAACGTGCTGCGTAACACGAGAATGAACCTCATTGGTTCTTGAGGAAGCTCAAACGTGCTGCGTATCACGAGAATGAACCTCATTGGTTCTTGAGGAAGCTCAAACGTGCTGCGTAACACGAGAATGACCCTCATTGGTTCTTGAGGAAGCTCAAACGTGCTGCGTAACACGAGAATGACCCTCATTGGTTCTTGCTGAAGCGCAAACGTGCTGCGTAACACGAGAATGAACCTCATTGGTTCTTGCGAAAGCTCAAACGTGCTGCGTAACACAAGAATGAACCTCATTGGTTCTTGCGGAAGCTCAAACGTGCTGCGTAAGACGAGAATGAACCTCATTGGTTCTTGAGGAAGCTCAAACGTGCTGCGTATCACGAGAATGAACCTCATTGGTTCTTGAGGAAGCTCAAACGTGCTGCGTAACACGAGAATGACCCTCATTGGTTCTTGAGAAAGCTCAAACGTGCTGCGTAACACGAGGATGAACCTCATTGGTTCTTGCTGAAGCACAAACGTGCTGCGTACCACGAGAATGAACCTCATTGGTCCTTGCTGAAGCTCAAACGTGCTGCGTAACACGAGAATGAACCTCATTGGTTCTTGCTGGAGCTCAAACGTGCTGCGTAACACGAGAATGAACCTCATTGGTTCTTGAGGAAGCTCAAACGTGCTGCGTATCACGAGAATGAACCTCATTGGTTCTTGAGGAAGCTCAAACGTGCTGCGTAACACGAGAATGACCCTCATTGGTTCTTGAGGAAGCTCAAACGTGCTGCGTAACACGAGAATGACCCTCATTGGTTCTTGCTGAAGCTCAAACGTGCTGCGTAACACGAGAATGAACCTCATTGGTTCTTGCGAAAGCTCAAACGTGCTGCGTAACACAAGAATGAACCTCATTGGTTCTTGCTGAAGCACAAACGTGCTGCGTAACACGAGAATGAACCTCATTGGTTCTTGCTGGAGCTCAAACGTGCTGCGTAACACGAGGATGAACCTCATTGGTTCTTGCGGAAGCTCAAACGTGCTGCGTAACACGAGAATGAACCTCATTGGTTCTTGAGGAAGCTCAAACGTGCTGCGTATCAAGAGAATGAACCTCATTGGTTCTTGAGGAAGCTCAAACGTGCTGCGTAACGCGAGAATGAACCTCATTGGTTCTTGAGGAAGCTCAAACGTGCTGCGTAACACGAGGATAAACCTCATTGGTTCTTGCTGAAGCTCAAACGTGCTGCGTAACACGAGAATGAACCTCATTGGTTCTTGAGGAAGCTCAAACGTGCTGCGTATCAAGAGAATGAACCTCATTGGTTCTTGAGGAAGCTCAAACGTGCTGCGTAACACGAGAATGACCCTCATTGGTTCTTGAGGAAGCTCAAACGTGCTGCGTAACACGAGGATGAACCTCATTGGTTCTTGCTGAAGCACAAACGTGCTGCGTACCACGAGAATGAACCTCATTGGTCCTTGCTGAAGCTCAAATGTGCTGCGTAACACAAGAATGAACCTCATTGGTTCTTGCTGAAGCACAAACGTGCTGCGTATCACGAGAATGAACTTCATTGGTTCTTGCTGAAGCTCAAACGTGCTGCGTAACACGAGAATGAACCTCATTGGTCCTTGCTGAAGCTCAAACGTGCTGCGTAACACGAGAATGAACCTCATTGGTTCTTGCTAGAGCTCAAACGTGCTGCGTAACACGAGGATGAACCTCATTGGTTCTTGCTGAAGCTCAAACGTGCTGCGTAACACGAGAATGAACCTCATTGGTTCTTGCTGAAGTTCAACGTGCTGCGTAACACGAGAATTAACCTCATTGGTTCTTGCTGAAGCTCAACCGTGCTGCGTACCACGAGAATGAACCTCATTTGTTCTTGCTGAAGTTCAACGTGCTGCGTAACACGAGAATCAACCTCACTGGTTCTTGCTGAAGCTCAAACGTGCTGCGTAACACGAGAATGAACTTCATTGGTTCTTGCTGAAGCTCAAACGTGCTGCGTAACACGAGAATGAACCTCATTATTTCTAGCTGAAGCTCAAACGTGCTGCGTAACATGAGAATGAACCTCATTGGTTCTTGCTGAAGTTCAACGTGCTGCGTAACACAAGAATGAACCTCATTGGTTCTTGCTGAAGTTCAACGTGCTGCGTAACACAAGAATGAACCTCATTGGTTCTTGCTGAAGTTCAACGTGCTGCGTAACACGAGAATGAACCTCATTGGTTCTTGCTGAAGTTCAACGTGCTGCGTAACACGAGAATGAACTTCATTGGTTCTTGCTGAAGCTCAAACGTGCTGCGTAACACGAGAATGAACCTCATTGGTTCTTGCTGAAGCTCAAACGTGCTGCGTAACACGAAAATGAACCTCATTGGTTCTTGCTGAAGCTCAAACGTGCTGCGTAACACGAGAATGAACCTCATTGGTTCTTGCTGAAGCTCAAACGTGCTGCGTAACACGAGAATGAACCTCATTGGTTCTTGCTGAAGCTCAAACGTGCTGCGTAACACGAGGATGAACCTCATTGGTTCTTGCTGAAGCTCAAACGTGCTGCATAACACGAGAATGAACTTCATTGGTTCTTGCTGAAGCTCAAACGTGCTGCGTAACACGAGAATGAACCTCATTGGTTCTTGCTGAAGCTCAAACGTGCTGCGTAACACGAGAATGAACCTCATTGGTTCTTGCTGAAGCTCAAACGTGCTGCGTAACACGAGAATGAACCTCAATGATTCTTGCTGAAGCTCAAACGTGCTGCGTACCACGAGAATGAACCTCATTGGTTCTTGCTGAAGTTCAACGTGCTGCGTAACACGAGAATTAACCTCATTGGTTCTTGCTGAAGCTCAAACGTGCTGCGTACCACGAGAATGAACCTCATTGGTTCTTGCTGAAGTTCAACGTGCTGCGTAACACGAGAATGAACCTCATTGGTTCTTGCTGAAGCTCAAACGTGCTGCGTACCACGAGAATGAACCTCATTGGTTCTTGCTGAAGTTCAACGTGCTGCGTAACACGAGAATGAACCTCATTGGTTCTTGCTGAAGCTCAAACGTGCTGCGTAACACGAGAATGAACCTCATTGGTTCTTGCTGAAGTTCAACGTGCTGCGTAACACGAGAATGAACCTCATTGGTTCTTGCTGAAGTTCAACGTGCTGCGTACCACGAGAATGAACCTCATTGGTTCTTGCTGAAATTCAACTTCCTTCGTAACACGAGAATGAACCTCATTGGTTCTTGCTGAAGTTCAACGTGCTGCGTAACACGAGAATGAACTTCATTGGTTCTTGCTGAAGCTCAAACGTGCTGTGTAACACGAGAATAAACCTCATTGTTTCTTGCTGAAGCTCAAACGTGCTGCGTAACACGAGAATGAACCTCATTGGTTCTTGCTGAAGTTCAACGTGCTGCGTACCACGAGAATGAACCTCATTGGTTCTTGCTGAAGTTCAACGTGCTGCGTACCACGAGAATGAACCTCATTGGTTCTTGCTGAAATTCAACTTCCTTCGTAACACGAGAATGAACCTCATTGGTTCTTGCTGAAGCTCAAACGTGCTGCGTACCACGAGAATGAACCTCATTGGTTCTTGCTGAAATTCAACTTCCTTCGTAACACGAGAATGAACCTCATTGGTTCTTGCTGAAGTTCAACGTGCTGCGTAACACGAGAATGAACCTCATTGGTTCTTGCTGAAGCTCAAACATGCTGCGTAACACGAGAATGAACCTCATTGGTTCTTGCTGAAGCTCAAACATGCTGCGTACCACGAGAATGAACCTCATTGGTTCTTGCTGAAGTTCAACGTGCTGCGTAACACGAGAATGAACCTCATTGGTTCTTGCTGAAGCTCAAACATGCTGCGTAACACGAGAATGAACCTCATTGGTTCTTGCAGAAGCTCAAACGTGCTGCGTAACACGAGAATGAACCTCATTGGTTCTTGCAGAAGCTCAAACATGCTGCGTAACACGAGGATGAACCTCATTGGTTCTTGCTGAAGCTCAAACGTGCTGCGTAACACGAGGATGAACCTCATTGGTTTTCGCATGTCAAATAGATGCTTGAGCTTCTGTTTACCACAACTAACGTGTGAGTTGATTAATGTTTATATGTGAATAAAAGCCTAAATTAAATCTGTTCATCCTATAAAGCGATCATGTCTCTTCAGAGAATTTGGACTAAACCTCTCAATTCATATGGATTCGTTTTATGATCTCTTTATTAACTTTTTGAAGCTTCAGTGTCAGTTGCGTAGACTGTCTGTGAAATCACACAGAAATCACTCAGATTTCATCAAAAAGATCTTCATCGAAGATGAACGAAAGTCTTACGGGTTTGGAACGACATGAGGGTGTGTAATTAATGACAGAATTTTTTATTTTTAGGTGAACTACCCCTTTAAGCATTAAGCAAATTATTTATATATATTATATAATTTATGTATAATGTTGATAAAACAATTTGATAGTAAGACAAACGTATTTGTGTATTTTCTGGTTATCAAAGTTTAAAGAAATGTTGTTTTTCTCATTATCCCTGCCTCCCAGAAATCATCTATGGAAAGCACCCTGAGTGAGACTGAGAATCGCTATTCCCTGCAGCTATACGGATACCAGGCACAGGTGAGAGCTCCTAAGAGCAAGGCTAAGAATTTCATAAATCTTACTCTTACTGTAGCCAGCTCATTACAGTTTTTCTCAGTCGCTTTGGTGCATTTCTCAGATCAGAAATGAAATTGTCAAAACTACTTGTTCAACCTCCACATCATCTAATCACTTGTGCACATCATAAAAGCAGTTTCTCATTCTTTTGAACAAGTTGCGATTGCTTTGGTACATTCATGCAATTGATTATGTACAATTGTCTGCGGTTTCCTACATAATCAGTTGCTCATGCCATGTTGCTCAAAATGTATTAAATAGTTCTCTGTGCAATCGTCTTACCCCTCAAAACATCTAGTCATCAGTTCATCGTATAAGTCATTAAATGCAAAATGGTTGATCTAGTTATCATAAACCATCAAGCATATTTTCTACACATTTCTATTAGACTTTTTGTAAATGTGCCATGAAGTAATGAATTGTGCAGGTGAATCTTGACTTTCACTAATGAAGAGAATGTAGATCAAACAATGAGAAACTAGTTCTCTGAAATAGCTCAAAGTTGCATCTCAAGAACCTTCAATTGGCAAGCATATACAGTGCTGCATGCAAAGGCAAATTTTGCCTTTCTAATGTTGTATTTTCGCCTTTGTGCCCCTATTTCTTTTTATTTTCTATATCACAACAATATTGTATGGTTGTTGTTTTTTTGTCAGTTTCTTTCAATCAATTACTCACGTACAGTAGTGTGTACATTTGTACTTTTGAAATGGATATATGGCATACAGAAGAAGCGCAGCTTTGTACATTTCATTACTCAGGTAATACTAAGAGTGCAGCGTTTTATTGACAAAATGACTAAACATTTTGACTATCTTGTTTGTGAACAATGACACGAGGACATTTCATTCTGATGGCACTGATATGTTCATTGACACAAATACTTACTTTTGAGAGATTAACTAAATATTTTGAGTAAGTTACAGGCTTTTGCAGGTAATCCAATCCAGGTGCTGTTTGTACGAATTGTTGTGAGAATGCACATACTTCTTTGCAAATATTAAGGATGATTTGAGAAATGCACCAAAGGGACTGAGAAAAACTGTAATAAGGCTTTGACCTTGACCTGTGTTGGGGTTAAAAGTTCTGTCTTCTCCCCTCGGGCTTGTAGGTGGGTGGAATGGAGGGCCAACTGGTGCAGCTCCGGACTGATCTGGAGCGCCAGAGTCAAGAGTACCAGATGCTCCTGGACATCAAGGCCAGACTGGAGATGGAGATCGCAGAGTACAGGAGACTGCTGGATGCAGAGGCCAGCGGCAGGTATATCACAGACCAGGTTTATATAGACATCAACAAGGACATGCTCTGCTCCAAATTGGTATATTCTTGCATACATGCAGACTTAAAAGTACACATTCTTTTCCTGCGATAGATAGATAGATAGATAGATAGATAGATAGATAGATAGATAGATAGATAGATAGATAGATAGATAGATAGATAGATAGATAGATAGATAGATAGATAGATAGATAGATAGATAGATAGATAGATAGATAGATAGATAGATAGATAGATAGATAGATAGATAGATAGATAGATAGATAGATAGATAGATAGATAGATAGATAGATAGATAGATAGATAGATAGATAGATAGATAGATAGATAGATAGGTAGGTAGGTAGGTAGGTAGGTAGGTAGGTAGATAGATAGATAGATAGATAGATAGATAGATAGATAGATAGATAGATAGATAGATAGATAGATAGATAGATAGATAGATAGATAGATAGATAGATAGATAGATAGATAGATAGATAGATAGATAGATAGATAGATAGATAGATAGATAGATAGATAGATAGATAGATAGATAGATAGATAGATAGATAGATAGATAGATAGATAGATAGATAGATAGATAGATAGATAGATAGATAGATAGATAGATAGGTTGGTAGGTAGGTAGGTAGGTAGGTAGGTAGGTTGGTAGGTAGGTAGTACAAATTGGGCATTTCAGGTTTAACTGGTTGCGTATTTTTGTCTCCCAACAGCCTCGCAATCTCAGCCAACTCTGGCTCCAGCTCCTCCTCCAGCTCCATCACTACCACCAGAACAGCAGTGATCACTGTTGTGGAAGAGGTGGTTGATGGTGGGACGGTGATTTCTTCCTCTTCAACAACCCTTGTTAAGTAAAGCACACCAGAGTCATGTCAGTTGGAGAATGCACCTGTAGTTCCTAGCAAGCTGTCAAAAATGTGGAGGTAGTTTGTGAGCATTTACAACAATAAAAACATGCCATAGACAAAATGCGTGTGGTTCTGTCATCTATTGTATATGGGTGCAATTTTGAAATGTTTCAACTTAAAGGGGCTATGTGTAGGTTTTTACTTAAAAAAATCTTTAAGATAGAGGGCCCTATCTTGCACCCGGCGCAAATGACTTTGTACATTGACGCATGTATCATTCCTATTTTGCACCCGCGCAAAGCGGTCTTTTCCCTCCACAGACGCACGTCGGTTAACTAAGAAATACACTTGCGCTCCCCTGGGCGGTTCAGCGCAAAGAGGAGGCGTGTTCCGGCGCAAACATTCCCTCATGCTATTTTGCTGTTCTATTAAACAATTGCGCCACTGACCAGAAAAAACCTAGTCTTAAGTCAGTGGCGCGTTGCGCGTTGTTCATTATGCTATTTTAAGGGCGCATGCTTGACCATAATCAATGTAGCGTGTGCACAACGCGCATACACTTTGATTCTCTCATCTAAGCAGCAGTTTTCATTTTTGCAAATCATTCATTATTATTACGATAGATGATAGATAGATAGATAGATAGATAGATAGATAGATAGATAGATAGATAGATAGATAGATAGATAGATAGATAGATAGATAGATAGATAATTTATTATAAAAGCATACATGTAGCTTACACATTTACCCAAATTATCATACGCCTGTTTAACAGAAGTTAATTTGGGTGGGTTTCTCCATCCCCAATGTCACTTCTCTGTGTTTTACGGCCCTGACGAGAACGTTGCTCTCCTCGGCTGTGAACCGCTCCTGGCGCGCGCCTGGCAAATCCGCCGTTATAATAGGAATCCGCATTAGAACAAGCGCGCCTGCTCTTTAAGGGAATGTGAGATGACGCTCTGATTGGTTTATTTCACGTTATGCCCAAACCACAACTATGAATAATGAAGCTACTTCAGACCAACCCCTTTTAGATTTGCGCCAGGCGCAAGAGGCATTTATCCCGCCGGGAAAATAGCAACAGCGCCGGGATCCGCCCACAAAGTTACTTGCGCTTTGATACTTGCGTTTCAGATCGTTAAAATAGGGCCCAGAGTCTTCATTTGTACATTTATGAGCCAACCATAATGTAATAGAAAGAATGACACCTTGACTGTCCACCACGGTTGCCTCTATCAGCCTGTAGGCTCAATTGTGTGTGGAGGAGTCGGGTCCGAATTGGCGTGAAAATTCACAAAATGTGTCGTTATGCACGTTCTCGTCTACTTGGGCTTACATCCGTACGGCAGCCATTAGTAAGCAGCGGCAATCGCCAGCAGTAGTGTTTCAAATGAAGCGACCAGCCTCCAGCACAATCCAGATACCCACAGAAACTCCTCATAAGTATAAAAAAAAAAAGCCTTATCTAGTGCGGCCAACGAGCGTGCGAGCATGCGCACCGAGAACGAGCATGAGACTGGCTGCAGTTTCTCTAACGGCCACTGGTGTCAGTAACGGTAAGAAATTTCTGAACTTCCGCAATGCTCCTTTAAGTTAAAGTAAGTTAAAGTGAGCAAAACAAATGCAAAGTGGGTATTACAAATGCACATCATTAAACATATCCAATACCAATTCAATCACATCCTCAAATAAATCCAGTGAGCATTATTTCTCATTCCATTATCCAAAATCTTAAAAACGGTGTTTTTAACTAGGTTCGCAAAACCTCAGAAATGCAACTATGTAAAAAAGTTATGAAAGTTTCAACACTTGATGGGCTGGTTTAGCCCATCAACACATGAACAGACTTCAGATGACTGTCTGCTGAATGAGTACACGAGAATGTGAATATATAATGGTAGTGAGAGTAAACATTCACGATAAGATGACAAGATAGGGTTAGTGTTGGGTCAGTGCACGATAAAGCAGTTAGCATTGCACAATCTTGACAAATCTCTCCTGCTAACGTGGAAAAGCAACAAAAAGGTCAAACAGGAATGAAAGAGATGTTTCAATTCCTGCTAAAATGACAAGTGGGAAACAAACGAATCGGTTTATTGTTCTGATGAACTTGCTTGGCATAAACCTCACCTTTCCATGTTAATGCTGCTTTACATATAAGAAACCACAAATGTCAAACTCATCAATTGCAGAAATGCCAGCCCAGCCCAGCCCAGCCCAGCCCAGCCCAGCCCAGCCCAGCCCATAAAAGAAACGTGGTTTGTTCAGTAAGCAGAATTCATTTTCATGGTACAACTGTGGAGGTCTTTAAACTCACTCGTTTAAAGCATATCTTTACATGATGAATGCTGTGCTACTGGATTCTCTACACAGGATTTGTTTTGCATTTAGAAATTTGGCAGCCTTTGAAACAACGTCAAAATAACCAAGAAAATTAAGTGAGAAAACAGCAAAATGACACTATCACAGAAAAAAGGGGAGAACGTGTCTATGGTGCAGTACAACAATTTTGCAAATAGAAGTGGATAGCAAAAGTCCAAAGTCCAAAGTGGAAAGTCCAAAAGTCTTAGGCACATTAGTAATCCCCACCCCCAAATAGTTTTAAGCCAATTATTTATATCTTTTGCTGTAGTGTGTCAGTAGAAAATATCAGTTTACATTTCCAAACATTCCTTTTACCATTATTTGTTGTAATCCAGTATGATTTTTGTATGTTCAACAGCTGGTGATCTGATCTCCCCATCATCGAGTCTGCCTGTGATTAAATGAAGAAACAGAAAAAAACTAGCCTGGGTAAACCCAGACAACTTCCGGCAAATTTAGATTTGCTCTGAAAGTTAGTCTGGCAAAGAGCTCATTCAAGCTCATTTCCAATCCGCGGAAATCGCGGCACCAATCAGAAACGTTGGGGCGGGCTTTACACGATGACGACAGCGCTGGGATTTTGAACATGATTTTGAAGCAGATTTTGTAGCCTACATTACAAAGATGGATGCCGCCGTCGAACATCACTCGTTCGAATCAGCTATCGCGTCTGTTTTAAGCGATTTGAACGTTTGCTTTTAGTTAAAAACCGAGCAAAGAACAACACTCGGAGATGTTTCTCCGCCGCTCTGCATACGTCATCTCCTTCATCGCTCTGATTGGTTTAGGTCTATCCGCGACGTCCGTTGGTGACGCCCCTCTGGAAATGATTTGTCTATGACGCTTTGCCAGACCATAACTCAGTTACAACTGAGAATGGTCTGGTTTTAACCAGGCTACAAAAAAACTGAGACAAGACTAAATCCAGAAGAACTGCGGCAACGAATCCAAGACACTTGAAGAAACCGAACTGCAAAATCTACAGTAGCCTACTGTGAAAAATTTTCGGCACTTGTGTAAAAATGCTGTAAAGTGAGGATGCTTTCAAAAATAATGTCATAAATAGATTTCATTTATCAAATAACTTCTATTAACTAAATCAAATCAATATTTGGTGTGACCACCCTTTTTTTGTGTGTGTGAAAATACTAACATGCCTAGGACTTTTGCACAGTACTGTATATTACAGTATTTTTGTCTTGGTTCAAGTAAATATTCAATTCAAATTTTCAATTCAAATTTATTTGTATAGCGCTTTTCACAATACATATTGTTTCAAAGCAGCTTTACAGAAAGTGCATTTCAGAAATGTACATAGAAGAATATAGTTAGTTAATCATCATGTATTAATTTAGGGCATAACATATCGCCGGCGTCGAGTCGTCTCTTCACAGGCGTCGAGTCGTCTCATCGCAGGCGTTGGGGCATCTGAAGTCTCTGTGAGAGGCTGGATACAAACTGGAGCTGACGAACGCTATTTACCTCGGGACTAGCGTCCCGAGATAACAGCAGAAAAGCAGATGGGAAATAATTAGCGTAGCTGCTGTTCATAATATTAATGCATTCGATCTGATTCAACAGTGGTATAAAAGGTAAGCATTATGTGAATGCTTGGCTGAAGAGATGCGTCTTTAATCTAGTTTTGAACTGGGAGAGCGAGTCTGAGCAACGAACAGTATCAGGAAGGCTATTCCAGAGTTTAGGAGCTAAATGTGAGAACACCCTCCCTCCTTTAGTGGACTTAGATATCCTAGGAATGACCAGTAGCCTCGAATTTAGGGATCTTAAAGAACGCGATGGATTGTAGGGCGATAGAAGGTCCATTAAATACACAGGAGCTAAACCATTTAGGGCTTTATAGGTCAGTAATAGTACTTTGTAATTGATACGGAACTTAATAGGTAACCAGTGCAGAGATGATAAAATTGGTGTTATATGATCATATTTTCTTGACCTAGTAAGAACTCTAGCGGCTGCATTTTGCACTAACTGTAGCTTGTTTATTGAAGATGCAGGACAACCAGCTAATAAAGCATTACAGTAATCTAGTCTCGAGGTCATGAATGCATGAACTAACTTTTCTGCTTCAGAAACAGATAGCATGTTACGTAATTTAGCAATGTTTCTAAGGTGGAAAAAGGCAGTTCTTGTAACATATGAAATATGATTTTCGAAAGACAAGTTGCGGTCTAGTATAACACCCAGGTCTTTTACTGTAGTGGATAAGGTAACAGGACATCCTTCTAAATTAAAGTTGTATTGTAAGAGATTTTGTGGGTAGTTTTTTGGACCAATAAGTAATACCTCCGTTTTATCTGGATTTAATAGCAGGAAATTACACGTCATCCAGCATTTTATATCTTTAAGACATTCTGTCAATTTAGATAGGTTAGTGTTTTCATCTGGTCGTGATGAAATATATAATTGAGTGTCATCAGCATAGCAGTGGAAATTAATTCCATGTTTTCTTATAATATTACCAAGTGGCAGCATATATATTGAGAATAGCAGAGGGCCTAACACCGATCCTTGCGGCACTCCATAGTCTACTGACGTTATTTTTCCCCATTTAAACAGACAAAATGGTAACGGTCTGATAAGTACGATCTGAACCAGCTTAATGCCTGTCCCTGAACACCAGTGTAGTTTTGTAGTCGATCCAAGAGTATTTTATGATCGATAGTGTCAAACGCA